TGGAAACATCAAACCAAGGTGGATGTTTAATAGGAGTTGGTTGCTTAATGATGGAGAACTCCATTGGTTGTTGAATTCCCTTCAATATGTGCAATGTATTTGGAATGTCAACAACTAAAACTCTTGGCACTTCGAGTGACACTTCTTTTGAAATATCAAGAGACATGTTTTGTGGATCACCAAAAGTCACATATTTTAGTTCTCCAAAACCATGATTCTTGAATCATCTCTTTGAAAAGACATGTCTCTTGAATTGTCCTGCAAAACAAAAGGAATAATAGGTGAAAGAGTAATGTTAGATAAAATTAATTCTTCACTCTCCTCTTTATCTCCAACTCCATTCTTTTCAATTCTTTTATTTGCAATCCCAACTTTTTCATCATTTGAATTTTCCTCCAAATGTTCTCCTTCAATTGCATTGTCTTTAAGTTGCTCGTTCATTGCTTTAATGCTCCTTTTCAAATGAGTTTGATCTTCATTCACTCGGCTAGGAGATAATGGAGTCCATATGATTTTTCTTTCATTGTGCATGAATGAATATCGATTGGTGAATCCATCATGGACAACCCGCTTGTGAAATTGCCATGGCCTCCCTAAGAGTAAATGACTCGTATTCATATGTACAACGTCACATAGAATCTCTTCTTTGTAACTTCCAAGTGAGAATGGCACAAGTACTTGTTCAGTAACCTTCAATTCTTCATTGCCATGCAACCATTGCAATTCATATGGGCTGGAATGTTTAATCGTTGTAAGCCCCAATTTGTTCACCATGTATGTGCTTGCAATGTTTGTACAACTTTCTCCGTTAATAGTTACAAGACATACTTTACCATTTATATGGAAATGAGTATGAAATGCATTCTCTCTTTGTTGAATGTTATCCATTACTTGGGAAGAGGAAAGATCAAGTAACATTGTTAGTGAAATTTTTTTTGAAATGTGAAAAATAGGACCTTACCAAATTGCACACAACAAAACCTCACGGTTACTAAAAAAAATTGTGATGTCACTCCATTCAAGAACTCGTATTTCACTCGGGAATATGTTTTTGGCTTTTGTAATTCCCCTTCTGATCTCACCCTCTCAGTAGCCTTTTTTCACTCAATTTCTCTTGCTAAGTCCTTTGAGGAACTTACTCAATATTAGACAAGTTAATTCTTTCCTTGTGTGCGTCGGCTGCAAATAAGGTTAGGGTAGAAAGAATAGAAGAAATGGAAGAAAGGATTTAAATGTATTAAAAGATAAAATGGTTGAAGACAAGGAAAATGAAAGTATAAAAAAAGGAAGAGGTGACTTACAATTCAAAAAACAACACTTACTGCAACCTTTCTTAAGAAACAATAAGGTTATCTTCTCTTAGTATAGATGGCCTCTTTGATGTTCTTGTAATGGTAGAGCACTTTCCTTGGCTTGCTTTCTCTTTTTGAACTTCTCTTTTTCTTTTCTTTTCTTCTTTTCTGATTTTTCTCTTCTTTTTGCACTCCAATTTATTGAAGGAGTCTTTTTCTCTTTTGAATTTCTTTTTTTTTTGCTTTGCACGCCAATGACACTTTTTTTTGTCAATCCGACTATGCTCTGATTACCGCTTGATGTAAGGTGAATCTACACGCTTTGATGGAAGAGAGTAGATAGCCTTATTGTGTCCCGATCTAGGATTGACAAGTACTGATGTCCTTGAATTTATAAGTTCGGGTTGCAAAATAAGATAAGAAAATAATGATTAATAATAGAATTTAATAAAGGGGATAATAATTTAAGTAATGAAAATAAATAATAAGAATGAAATGAGATAAATAAAGGATATAGATGGTTGTGGAATTGATGGAAGAGATGGATGATGTTGATGATGAAATGGCAATGGTGGTGATGTTGTATCTCAAACACGCCAAAGAGGAAACTATGCTATGAAGCACAATCCCGGTCTTCACAAACTTGCTTGAGGGGTGGTGATAGTGTCTTCAACCCACTAGATATCAATCTAGGAATTTTGGAATCAAAATGGAAGGAATGACGCCACAAGTATAGGAACTATACTTGTTTAATCGATAAAGTTCACAAAGAACTTTGAAGAGAAATAACTCACAAGAGTATATTTTATATAAGAGATGATATGCTTACAAATGAAATGACAAAGCCTATTTATAGTTTTCAAAGGGTTTAGGCCGAATAGGTACATGATGGTTCGGCTATGCATGAAACCCCTTTGAAAATACATGACTTTTAAATGAAAATACATGATTTTAATGAAGATACATGCTCTTGGCCGAATAGTAAGGTGTTGGTTCGGCCTAAGGATGTTTTGAATGCTTTTGGAAGTCATTTGGGCGCCAAAATGGAGAGGAATAAGTCTTTGGCCGAATAGGAAGCATCCCTTGGTGTTTTGGTGCCTATTTGATGTCACATGGAGTGCACATGCTTGAATGATGCACATGGCAGCCTACTTGAACGCACATGGGTCTTCTTTTAAGGCTTTGGTGAGGTTACAACCATAGGATAATGTCTTGAAGTCCATGGAATGAAGATGGCAGCAACTATGCGTGACTTGGCTTCCAACATGCATCTAGGTGTCATGGTCTTCAATGGGCAACAACTTGTCATGAAAGGTCACATTTGTGGAAGGTAACCTTTCATGATTTGAGCTACTTCCCATGTGTATGAGCTGAAGATGAGCTGGTCATAGGTGAATTACATGAAGATGAGTCTTTGGCCAGCTCTTGTGAAAAGGCACCTCTTGGAATGGCAACTCTTCGCGAAAAGATACGAATCCACAAAAATTGACTTAGACCATATTTGAAGTACTTTGTGTGGTGGTGATGATGGTGCAACTCTCCAGCTGAAATGAGGTCTCTAGCTAGCTCAAAAGTCCAGCTCAAGTGAGCTATGAGCTCGGGGGTCAGCTGATAACTTTTCACCATTTGTTCTTCATGATCTCCCGAGTCATCCTATGTAAGTTTTCCTAGCTTCTTATCCTTAGTTAAGCTCAAATGTAGCTCCTAAGTGTTGGCCGAATATTCCTACATGCATAACATAAAGAAATAAACTAAGTATATAAACTATATAATGCATATAATATAATGATGTGCATATTATAAAGATGTGAACTATAGGTTATAATAATAACTCATGCATCATATGATAATGAATGAATATTAATATTATAACTATATATTATATACTTGAATATCAATCAATGATACAAACCATAGGATATAATGAATGAATGCACATACTATGATAATTCAAGTATAGTCTAATGTGCAAATGTATGCTCATAATAATATATAGTGCATAAATAAGTAATATAAGATAAAGTATGGTAGAACTCCCTTATATTGAGTTTGATGGTTCTTCAATGATGTGAGTATGTCATGCAGAAAGTTGGTGCTAAATAGGATCACATCACTTGACTTTAAAAGCTGCAAAAAAATTATATATGCTAAAAAATGATATATGTGATGCTCTTAAGTATGCCTAAAATGTATACAACATGAATTAGCTCTTGTTTTATCTCCTGGATGGATCCTTATTTTTGTCTACTGGTCTTGTCCTTGGAATCGACCATGTCCCGTTTTCTTATATGGTTGTTGACATTGTCACAAGTTCTATCTGATCATTCAGACTATTTTCTTTCAAGAATGTGATATGCTCCATTATTCAGCCATTGTTTATTCCTTCTTCAATATAGGCAAAATGAGCCTCACCAGCTTTAAGGAACTTTCACATTTGAGACTGACATGTTTGAAAATGTTTTTCTCCTTTCTTTTATTTCAGAAAAAAAAGAATATAAGAATTTTGTAAAACATTGCCTCTTAATTCAGGCTCGCAATCAAATCATAAACATGAGTTCAAAGAATATAAAAGGAATCAATAGTTCTTTAATGCTTTCAGAGTTATAGCTCTTTGACAAGTATCAAAATTGATAAGTTGGCTTCAGGTTGGCCTCCTATTTTTTAAGGTTTCGGCCACCACAATGTCATTTATTTCTTGGTCCTGTTGAATATTGCAACATGCCCCTCTTTCTTAGCTTGGTATTTTAATCGAATGCGAACAAAATGACACAGCTAGTATAATCAATTACTCGACCTTCTATTTTGGTTCTCTAAAATATTTCATTTGTTCAAGCTTCGTAGACTCCTCTAAAAAAGGCAGTATTGAAATATCGTTCTAAAAATGAAATTCCTTAGTACTCATATGAAATTGACTATAACAGGTGTTTTTTAACTCCCTTAGTCCATCTTTACCATAACTCCTTATTTAGATTAATTTAATTTGCCATTGTCTGGCTAGCTAAATTTTATCCATAAAGTCGGAGCGTTTAACCAATTGCTCTAGAGGGACAACTCAATATTATAATTACCTTTATCAGGCTAGCTGAATCTTATCCATAAAGTCGGGGCGTTTAACCAATTGCTTTAGAGGGACAGCTAAAGCTTTATTGTATATACATTATAATCACCTTTATCAGGCTAGCTGAATCTTATCCATAAAGCCGGGGAGTTTAACCAATTGCTCTAGAGGGACAACTTAAGCTTTATTGTATACATTTAATATTATAATCTGGGTATACGGATCCAATCTCTTAAGTTTGTCAAGAAGAACCTGTTATAGTCTAGGTGTTGTTGAAAGTCAAGAAATCTCATCTTTAGAGTTCAATTTCTAAGCAACTGACCTAAACTAGATTCATCTACTCAACTATTTCATCTGTGAATATCATCATCATCATTTAACGTCATCAACAAAAGTATAGTAATGTCATACACAAGAGATGCTCTATGTTGTCCGCTCCTATGCATACCTAATACCAAGCCTCTTGTTCATTCCCTTATGAAAGGAGAAGGCTATATCAGTTTTTTGCAAGAGAATGACATGATGTTCGAGTGTGTCTTCTGGGTAAAATCAATGGTCATTATTTTACCAATTTTTATCGTGTCACTTTGTCAAAGATCTATAACTCCGATCATTTACAGTTTTTTAATTCAGTTGATATTCAAAGAATTTCAAGTTGTAAATTTGGTTCAATGCTCAGCATAAATTCATTTAAATATCCTTATAAAAAGAAATACGAGAAAGTTCAAAAAACAAGTTACAAAAAGAAATATGAGAAAGTTCAAAAACAAATTCAAACAATATGCTACAAAATGGAATAGAGCTTCATTAGGATGCCCCATTATTTCAAGACTGTTGAATGTCTAATTGGATTAGGGCCTTCATCTGTACTTGCTCCCCATTTCTCAATCGTTTCACTTACCAATGCTCGAAGTACCATTAGATGCCAAATTTATGCTTCCTCCTAAGCATCTTCTTCAGAAAATCCCACTTCTTTGTTATTTATCAGCTTTTCTTTTCCTGGTTGAAAATTGGGCCCAAATTTAGATCCAAAACGATTTTCCTTGGTGGTGATAGTTTTGGCCGGATCCTGAACGCATATTGCAGCTATGATTGGCGTAATATTCGTCAGGCCTTCTAAGCTGCCCAAAATCCCTCTTGCCTTTAGGAAATCTGATATAGGTGTTTGAGGTGTCTTCAAAGTTGCATCTGACCCACTGATTCTTAAACCCACGGGTCAGTCTCAGATTACATTCATGGAAGCTCTTTTGCTTGGATTTCCTTTCCTATCCTCTTGCGCCTTCACAGAAATTACATGTATTAATCTCTGGTGAAGCAATGACTTCCGAGTTTTGGACCTTAATCCCTTTATCTTATACCTTACACCCTTGAATTGCTTGCTCTAAAGGATCCTCAAGGTTGCTAGGAACCTTAACTGAACAATCAAGGGTTTCATTCTAGTTTATCCAAGGAATCTCCTTATAGGTCCACTTCTCATTCGGGGGACACTGTGGCTGGACATATCTCGGTGTAATCAATCCAGCTATAAGTATTTTTTAATGTAATTGTTCAAGCGAAAAGTGGAAGTGAGGGAATTGAAAACCATGCACTCTCTTTTTCTTATCATCTAATCCCCATGACGAGAGACTACTTGATAATGGTTTTATAGATAGAACTCGATTGTCTTGACTGGATGATTGTAAATGATTATAACCTCTAATCATGAGAGATTGATCCTTCTTAGCTTTCTTGGTCAACATTTGGTCCTCTTCTATGCCCATATTTGATTTTTGGAGTTGGCCTGAAATATCCGACTCCTTAATAGGTCCTCTTGCCACTATCATTTTAATTTTAGCACCAGCATTCATAGTCCCATCCAAAATGGGATCCACTAGTGGCTTCTCTCCATGGATCACCACATTTACTATGTCCATTAATTTGGACATTTGTTCTCTTGATTCATCCCAAAATCTTTTTGCTTGATTGATCATCTCCTGTTGGGTTTTTATGAGTTGCTCTTGAATTTTCTCAATCTTACCAACACGCGCTAGTATCTCATTCATCGCTTTGGATCTTTTTACAGACACGTTTTAGGTAACTTCAATTTGCTTTCAAAGCATCACTTTTAATTGCCTTTTCTTTGAACGGGTGTTATGAGGATGAAGTGTGTCCAATGCTCAGTGTGTCCAGTGTTTGTTTCTTTTTATGAGACATCTCTTGTTAGTTAATGTAAATGTAATGAAAATAAAAAAAGAAAAGAAAAATAATGCGAAATATGCATGATACATGAAGTTTCGAGGCACTGATCCAAAGACGTATTTGTTACTATAAATAATCTTTATTGGGACAAAAGTGTTATTTCTTAAGATACAAAAACATCTTAAAGGTATATTCCGACTGAGTATTCTAGACCCCGAACAACTTCTAACATGTTGACTGGTCTTTTGCCTTCGTCTGTCACTGGTTGAATACCCTGTCGAACCGCTCCGACTTCTCTGGCTAAACCGTGCAAGTGACGAGCCATTTTTTGTACTTTCTCCAAGGAGTCTCGAATGACTGTATCTCTGGCTCTCACTCTCTACTAAGCCTGTTCCCTAACGGAAATGCCATTAGAGCCCTCCATTGATAGGAGCTATCCGAAGTTAATTTGCTTGTTTCTTGAATTCGTCAATAATGGCATCCAGTTGCAGTTATCGCTTTGCCATCTTGTTCTTATTGTCTTTAAAGGGACTCTCCAGGTCAGTAACCATTTTCTCATCTTGCCCCAACAACCTTTGCCAACCCATTTTTAAAAAGTTGACTTTTGAAGTACTTGATGGTGGGCACAACGTCTTCTTAATTAAATGTGACACATAGTTACCTTGCAGATTGTCCTCCAAATTTTTAAGTCTTGTATTACAACCCCTTTGTCCATTAATGAAAACTATTTACATTTAACAAACACGTTTTTATGGATCAACACCTCTTTTGAATGATGTAAATGATAAAAATAAAATGAAAGAGAAAAAATAAAAGGAAAGAGTTAGTGAGGTAAGGATAATAATCAAAACAATAATGAAAATAAAAAGTCCTACCCCCATGATATCTACCACACATGCTTATTATTCCTACCTGGACATGATCTCTATCCTGTATGTTAATTTTGAACAAGTCCTAACCGTATATCTTTCTAGTTCGCATACTTTGAACATAAAGTAAAACAGGAAATAATTCAAGCATCTTAGGTTTTTAAATGGAGTTTCAGGGTGGGCTCTAATTCTCTGTAGTCTCCCGGTTTAGGTTCTAAAGAAGGTACTCGAGTTCTCCTTGCCGGTGCCCTCTTGGGCTTTCCAGACCCTTAGTCCTAAGCCATTACAAGCTTATGTGGACTAAGTTAAACTCAAGAGGATACATTCCCTTATGCCCATACGGAGAATAAATTCACACGAAGACATAAGGTATATGAATCATGAAGGTTACTTGCTAGGCACATACGGATAATAAATTCTCACAAAAGCATCGCTTTCACCCCCACTTAAAAAAAAGGTTCGGAGCTCGGGTATAGAGCCTTATATGGATAAAAGTTTGATAAGCTAAAACCATCGAAAGAAAACGTCAGTACAACTATTTATTTGGAAAAACAAAACTAATCAAAGGTAAGTAATAAGGATCGAAAAATTACCTTAAAATTTAAACTTACCCTTTTCACTTAAGAAGACAACTGGAAATTAACCTTAGCCATCTTGTTCTTATTGTCTATAAAGGGACAGTCCAGGTCAATAACCTTTTTCTCATATTGCCCCAACAACCTTTGCCAACCCATTTTTGAAAAGTTGACTTTTGATGTACTTGATGGTGGGCACAACGTCTTCTTAATTAAATGTGACACATAGTTGCCTTGCAGATTGTCCTCCGAATTTTTCAACTCTTGTATTACAACCCCTTTATCCATTAATGAAAACTATTTACATTTAACAAACACGTTTTTATGGATCAACACCTATTTTGAATGATGTAAATGATAAAAATAAAATGAAAGAAAAAAATAAAAGAAAAGAGTTAGTGAGGTAAGGATAATAATCAAAACAATAATAAAAATAAAAAGTCCTACCCCACATGATATCTACCACACATGCTTATTATTCCTACCTGAACATGATCTCTATCCCGTATGTTAATTTTGAACAAGTCCTAACCGTATATCTTTCTAGTTCGCATGCTTTGAACATAAAGTAAAACAAGAAATAATTCAAGCATCTTAGGTTTTTAAATGGAGTTTCAGGGTGGGCTCTAATTCTTTGTAGTCTCCCGGTTTAGGTTCTAAAGAAGTACCCGAGTTCTCCTTGTCGGTGCCCCCTTGGGCTTGCCAGACCCTTAGTCCTAAGCCCATTACAAGTTTATGTGGACTAAGTTAAACTCAAGAGGATACATTCCCTTATGCCATACAGAGAATAAATTCACACGAAGACATAAGGTATATGAATCCTGAAGGTTACTTGCTAGGCACATACGGAGAATAAATTCTCACAAAAGCATCGCTTTCACCCCCACTTAAAAAATAGGTTCGGAGCTCGGGTATAGAGCCTTAGATGGATTAAAGTTTGATAAGCTAAAACCATCGAAAGAAAACGTCAGTACAACTATTTATTTGGAAAAACAAAACTAATCAAAGGTAAGTAATAAGGATCAAAAAATTACCTTAAATTTTAAACTTACCATTTTCACTTAAGAAGACAGCTGGAAATTAACCTTAGCCTTACTCACTTACCTGTCCCTAGTGGAGTCGCCAAGTTGTCGCAGACGTCTTTCGGGTGGGCCCAAAATTGGGCTTCGACTTGAAAAAATGTTAAAGCCGCCACCGATCATTTTAAAAAACATTATTTAGGTTGATCGGACACCATCTTACCTAATCTACGTCTTACCAGAAATATGTCAGATTCAGGAGTCGGTTACAGTCAAGGAAGGATTAGCACCCTTGAACTGCCCTTTCGGTACTAATTAATTTCCAGTTGTCTTATTTAAGAAAATTGTAATTTAAATTGAAAGAAAAAAGTTCGATCCAAATTACTTACCTTTAATGGATTTAAAAGTGCACCCTTAAAAAATCAAAAAATGTTAGATTGGAAAAATAACATGATGAATCTAAAAGAAAAAATGTATGTTAAATTATGACACTTTGAACATAGAAGGAAAAAAGGAAAATATAAATACATGCTGAGAAATTAACAAAATATAAAAAAAAGAAATAAATAGAACACAGAGAACAAATCACGCATTAAAAAAAAGTGAAAAATAATGTAAAAAGTAAAAAGTATATCGAATTAAACCAAAAAGACTAATTGCGAAATTAAAGATAAACAATTACTATAATAAAGAAATAAAGAAAAATAAAAATATAAAAACCCTAAAAATAGCTAAATAAAAAATAAGTAAAAAAGCTAATGTCCAAATAGGAAGAAAAAAATGATAAGATGCATAAAATAAATAAGAATAAATAAGAATAAGAATAAGAATAAAAAACTAAAAATAAAATAAAATAAAATAATGGAATTAAATAAAATCATAAAAGAAAATAAGAAAAAAACAGAAAAAATAAATGAATATATATATATAATGTAGTATTAAATAAATAAATAAATAAATAAGAGAGAGGGAAATAATTAAAACGGGAATTAAATAAAAAAAGGACTAAATTA